TTCCTGAAAATTTCAAGAAACAAATAAACAAGTTACGGTTGTATTTTTAGACGATTTTTCGCCTTTACTTTTCATTTTTAAAATAAAGGGTGCGCAATCTTGACCTCAATTCTATTGACGATTAAAATTGAGAGTCTATTTGTTAACCGCTATTAAATAACAGGCAGGATTAATGATTGATGTAATCAGAGAATACAATGCACTATTTTAATCCATTTAGTTTACCTTTCATCTTGACCTCAATTTTATTGACGATTAAAATTGAGAGTCTATTTGTTAACCGCTATTAAATAACAGGCAGGATTAATGATTGATGTGGACGAAATTATGTTAATTGTCATTTTTACTTTCCTTGTTTTGTCAACCTTTTATCATCTGTTCAATCTAGAGAGAGAAAAAGAGAGAAAGTTGAAAAGTTGTCATCCAATAATTAATACAACTGCCTTTGGGAAGAAATTCAATATTCATGGTTGGATGATTTCAACTTCTCATGAGTCAGACTCACCCTTAAGGGTTTCCGGTAAAGCAGAGAGATGAAGATGACAATAATGATGATGAGGATGATGAAGTTGGTGATAATAACGATTGGAAACAATGAAAGGTAATAATAAGGGAAGGTGAAAAAAAAGTAAAACATTGAAAACAAAAACAAGACATAATTTTGTCTCAATAACATGAATCTGATTCAATTTTGACACATAACATCCACCCAACATCCGTCCAGATATCAGTGGATGAAAAATTTCCGTTTCCGATGATGATGACAATGAAAAAAACATGTAACGATAAAAAAGCGCAAAACAATGACAAAAATTGTTCAACCTTATGACTAACTGTATGGTTAACAACCATTGGTAACCTTTGCTATGGCAACAAAGGCACAAGGTTAAGGGACAGTTACATAATAAATAATGATTTTACAATTTTAATGAAATGTTTTGAAAAAAGGTTGACATTTGGTCAGTTAATGGATACAGAGAAGTGCGTTTGTACCAGAAAAAGATGTAACAATGGACTTTTTTGCTTCTCTCTTAGTGTTGAATTTGCCCGGAAGCACATTTTTAACTTAATTATCTTCATCTTTTAACCTGTTTCCTTCCTAATCATCATCATCAACAGTTAGGAAATTGTTAACTTCAATTGTTAATAGATTTAGATTGAGTTTTATTATTTGACCAAAAGTGATTACATAGAGCTGAGATTTACATTGGCAATTACAATTGATTATTAAGATTAATCGCAAGTAATTTCCATTGAAAAAAGATGAACAAAAAGAAAGAGTTGAAGATATTTCAAAGGAACACACTTGAATGATTTTACCTGACAGGTTATCTAATAAATGTTTTAAGATACAAACAGTGATGATGATAATAGTGTTTTATGCTGTCTGGTTCAATGGTCAAGATCAACTGAATTGATGAAAAGCATTTTTTATAGTAAAAAAATGATAACTGTCAATGACCTGTGGCCAAGAGAGAAGTTTCAAGATTTAATCGATTATAATTTAAATTTCTCAATCTACTGAATTGAGTAACAATAAATGCTAGACAAGAGTTGATCAAAATGAAATTATAATTCAAATCAATTAAACTGACAAAATTGCAACCATAAAGGTTGTACAGTTTTGGGTTTACAATGTAATAACCAAGATAACCCAATGGCTTCCAAAAGCAGCCTTAACCAGAAAACCCAGCAAAATCTGTGAAAATTCAATTTAATCATCAAATTCATAATCTTGGTGACTTTATTGACAGTCAATTTACATGCCAAACTGATCAAAAATATGCAATGACTTAACAGTAATGAATGTAGCTCAGAATGAATTGGGAAAACTTCATGTCAGTCATAAGGCTCATAAATTTATTGTTAACTTATTTTCAAAATCAAATTAAAGGAAATTTTGATTCAATTTAATATCGAGTCATCCTGTGGACAATACATGGTTAATTGTTGATCATGAAAAGTGTCATTTCTGTGCTAAATAAGTGAAGTGTCTGAAAGGTTGATTAGCATCAAATCAAATTATGTCATCAAAATCAAAGCCTATGTAATCAATACAGTTGATGTCAGATATTTGGTCATGAATGAGCTCAAGTTTATTGAATTTCTGGTATTTCAAGTGTTTCATCCATTCATTGTGATGATTTATTGGAATCAGATTAACATTAAAATTTTAGTAAATCTCAATAATGAAGCAAAGTATGAAGCTTTTTTGTTAACCTTTTGGTTTTTTGATTGAATCCTTCCAATTAGAGCTGACATGAATCATCTATCGACCAAAAAGGTTCCCTTGACTTGGATAGTGGTTCAGTTACTGACCACTGTCAAAGGCCATTGTCCTTGGAAAATGAAAAGTAATTTTAATTTACTTTTCAGAAACTAATTTACCTGTTGTTAATAACATTCTTCTTGCGGAAACAATTCTCTGTTAACAAATTATAATCATTTTTCTTCTTTTTTCACTTGTTTTCCACCTGAAATTGACCATTACAAGTAAACAAGGTGAAAAGTATTGTCAGAGCGAAACGTCATTTTGATAGTTTGAAAGTCACACAAAAAAGCTGTAATAATCACAATAATTGGCATCAACTTGTAATGACTTTTCAAAGAGACAACAATCAGTTCCAATGAAAGTGAAACCTTTTACCTCTGAAAAGGTCAATGTCAATGAATTATCAGATGAAAATGTTGAACAGATAAACAAGAGCAACAATGATCAGGTTAAAGTTGAACCAGTGTTTGGATCACAACTGTTAATCCCTCTTAACCAGTATAACCAATGACCAGAAAAGGCTCATCTGTTAACAATTTAATCTGTTGCCAGAATCGTATTAATCAGTACAATTACAACTTTTATTATAACCAAGTGATTGATGACTAAATAGATGTTAGCAATTAAATGATGGAAACTGTGATGATACGTAAATGGTGATTATGGTGGTAGACAGATGATCCAGAATAATGGCTATGGATTGATGCATGAAAAAGTGTTGTAAGAAATAAATAATTCATCCAATTGATGATCATGATACTGAATGGCAGTTAGTTTTATCAGAAAATTACCATTTGATTGTTGATTGTAAATTGTTATCTTACATTTGAATATCTGATAAGGATTCAACCTAATTCAGTGTATTTACAGCAATCATGTTATGCGAACATCTTTCACTTGAAATTAGCCCAATTATTATCAATTTATGTATTCATTGTTTAGTGATAATCAGATTATTCAGACTAGATTAATGTTTCAATTGCAATAATTTCCTTGTTTTTTAATTAGATTGAAGTAACAAAATAAAAGATTTAAAATGTTATGTAAATGAAATACATTTCAATTGATTCACTTTGAGCACGGAATCTTCAAATTTTTTCATCATTTCAATCAATTTCTCGATTTCTTCATGTTCATCTCAACTAAAAAATCTCAGCAAACAAACCAAAATCAGTGCAATTCAATCGTTTCAAATTGTCTGATTAAGTGATCTTTAACTTGCTTTAAATTAATAATCAGAAATTTTGATTACCTCAATTAAAAGCACAAAAATTTGGTTCCATTTCAAAACATAAGACAATTCAAATCAATAGTCACATCCATCTTAAAGTGAGAAATAGTCATTTCCAGAATCTGTTTCAAGTTGTTTTTTTCAATTTCTTGAAATGTTGACTGATGAATAACCACACAATTTACACGGACTGATCAGAACTCTTGTCAATTCAATCAAACTGTGTTTTCAAATTATGTCTATTAACAGTTTAATCAAACGACTGAACTGTTTTGGATTGAAATGTTGCCTTTGGTTTGTAAAAGGCAAAAGGTTTTGGTGAAATGTTTATCAGAATAAAATGATCTTTTTTCAAAGCAAACCTTTAATGGGAAATAATGATATTGAGTCATAATTTTAACTGAAACCAGACTCAGTGATATTTCATGGTGAAATCAGTTTTTAATGGTTCATTTGCTTTACAGCTGGTTAGTTGAATAGTCAATCTTTACATAAATGTTGCTTTTGAACTGCTTATTAGGATCAAATCGACTCTAGACATTGTTCCCATTGTGTGACAATATTGTGGTTTCAGGTCGATTGTGTGACTTGAAATCATTGTCGCTATTAAACTTTGCGTGAAATCATTTGGACAAAGTTGATAATCGATTTTGTTATCAATTTAAAAAGACAATTTTGTAACTTTAATTGAAATATTTCTCATTCGGTAAGACACTCGGCTTGTTTAATCAATAACAATTGTTCATCTGTTAGACTGATGACAACTGTTATTATAAATGAATGATGTTGATATCAATGAAGCTAAACTTTAATTGTATTTCATGAACAAGTACATTTTCAGGTAAAGGTAGACGTTCATGATGATGATGATGACCATGATCAAAATCAATTGTACTTTAAATTAGTATCACGCAATAAATTCATTGAAGATAGTTTAACTAACAATCCTGTAAATCATAAAACCGTAAATTCAATTCGAAATGATGTTTCACTTTTTTTCATGTTCATTATTGTGAGAAATACAATTGATTGAGCTTTTCTTTGGCTGATTAACTAATCGCTGTTAAATCTTTAGTTCAAGTTCACTTGATAATTGAAATTTAAGATTAACCTTTTGATTGAGTTTCTGTCAGGAAATTTTGTTCTTTACAACTCAAATGTATCAATGTGACGATTTGGGTTCAACTCTGATTTGTGTGTTGGTTTCAAGTCAATTAATTGATTTAAAATTTGCTTTTTTATTTAAATTAATTTGTAATTAATAATTGTAAACTGTAAATTATGATAATTGAAGAATGAAATTGGTAAAGAAATCAATTTGTTTGTTATTAAAAGATTTTAATTTGGACAAATGAAGTTAATTTAATTTTGGTTTCGTTTGGAGGTTTTTAGTTTCAATTTGATTTAGTTTCAAGTTTAATAATGTGAATTATCAAGTTAATTAAAAATAATTCACGATTAGTTTTAGGCTTATTCGCACGATTTTATCCTAAAATGTTTCACTTGTAAGAAAGAGTTTAATCACAATTTTAATTAACTCATACTGTGATACTATTAAACCCTTTTAAAGTTGGTTAAATTAAAGTAATGATTACAATTAATATTTGCTTCTTACAATGGCACTGATTCAAGTGTTTTAGCTATTCAAAATATGCAAACAATGAATTTGGTGACAAGAAAATTGAATTTATTCAGTCACTTCTTCATATTGTACCCATGATTGTTGAATCTGGTCAAATTTGGTCAAGGATACCAAATTGAAACACTTTGCTAAGAATAAGCAAGATTGGAATTACATTGTTTACATCATTCAACTGGTTGAATTTGTTAATAATCAAGATAATCAATGTAACCATTAACCAAAAAATTACTGTTCATCCAACATGAACGGCTGAGCCTAACCTAATCTCATTAGATATGATGAAGCCGCTATTAGTAACTGTTTAAAGTCAATGTCATCAGATAATGTTAATGATTATGGCGATGTCCGTGGTGATCTTGGCGATGATCCACACGATGATCCTGACAGCGATCCTGATGGTGATCTTGGTGGTACTGGTGATGAAAAAAGGTATGAAAAAGATCGGATTACTTAATTGTATAATAGATTTGGTCATTTTACAAAAAAAAATCTTACCTAAAAAAAGGTGGATGATGTTGATAGTGGTGATGATATTAATAAATAATGATGTTTGGTGAAATATTGTGCGTGACCAGGAAGGAGATGAAATGAAATGATCATGATAAGACATGGTGATGATGATGTTGATAATGAATAGACAGAGAAATAAGGTTAACAAAAAAGAGGTTTTATAACAATGTACAATAAGATTTATAACCAAGACAAGAAAAGCTCAATGATAAGGATTGGAGTTCACTTTAAATCAACAGATTTTTAATAGGTTATTGTTGATAATGTGTTAACCACGAAATATTAATACACACTTTGAAATATCACTTGATATTAATTAATCATAATTAACGATAAACATTTTAAGATCAAGTTAACCATTTTGCACAAAGAAACCCAATTGTAATGGCGTCAACTGGTTAACGCTTTCCCTCTCATTGGCTATCTTGATTGGCGGTTATTTATGAATTATGTTTTTCATTGTCTATAAATTATGGGCAGCAATTTAATATTTAATTTTAATCAATGATTTTCATTTTAATCCGATTCAACTCTTAAATGATACTTTAAATGAAACAAAATATCTCTTTATATTCATTAAACATTTCAATGATCCATTTATCAAGTGCAACACTTTAACCTCTTCGCAACCAGAAATCAATTTTTAATTAAAATTTTGATTTAAATGTTTGAATTAGTCTTTTTAATGCAAATTGCAATCAATTTAGATTTTTTCAAACTGTTCAAATGAGGAAATATAATCAAACGAAAAGCAAAAAGTGAAAAAATTTTGGTTGTAAATTTAAATTGAAAGTAGCGCTAGTTCATTAGAGTTTATAATTGGACAACAAAAGGTTGAATCTGGTGATGAAAGTATCTTTAAGGATTGGGTAAATCTGTAAATATCTTGATCATTTTTCATCACATGCGATTATCCTTTATAATTTTCTCACCTTTTACCTTGATTTTTGTGTTTTGATGACGATGATGGTTGTGCTGAAGATTGCCATCAGTATTTGTTGCCAGTTTTTTTGAATTTTACTTGTACAATCATCGTTTTCTATCTCACTGATCTTTTTGCTCTTCTTTTTTTTCAAAGCATTTCTTTTGTTGTTTTCCCTCTCTCCTTACCTTTTATTGAGCAAAAAATTCTTGGCACATGGAAAACTTTTCTTCAGTTCCACAAGATTGACTACATTTCCATCATAAGCTGTGACTATTGAGATGGTTCTTTCTCTTTCTCCTTTTCTCCTTCTTATTCATCACCATCTTCCTTTCATTAGGATTTATCATCTTTGGTTTGTGTCATTGTGCTAACCATTTTTTTGCACTGCTAAATAGTAGTTAAAATCTGATCACCTGCTTTACACTATTAATTTTGAAAATTTCTTTGAGTACCTGGGCTAAAGTGAAAGTCAAGGTAATACATTAGTTTGTTAAATCTCTTGTGGGACCAAAAATTCATTGGATCGGAAAATTTGATGCTTAGTTTTTACACACTTGTTTCGAGACTTTTGTTGCCATTTTCATCCACTTTTGTGGTTCAAATTATGGCAACTTGAAGCAATCAGATTAACCAACATGCCGACAATTAACGCTATATTGGGATGTATTTCAACTCAAAACAGGAACATTAAGAAACGAAATATTTTCAATTCACAGTCAAAAGGAAAGGTTAATTCTTGAATGATTGAAATTTGATTCAAAAGTTGCACTTGAACCAAATTTTTAAATCTGGAAAAGGGTTAATGCGCAAACTCTGGTTTAAAACACATGGGGTTAATTTTAACCGTTAAAATTGTGTGTAATTAATATAGTTGATGATGACTTGATTCCGTTTTGTGAATTTAACTCTTCAGATTAAATTATCTGATTGAGAATAGTTTGATTAGTTTTTAATAGTGTAACACCAATTCTGATTTATCTCTCTGTATAATTTTGACCCAACTTTTAGATGGCAACAAGTGTTACCTACCATTTTGATCACACATTAATCTAAAGCAAAACTGATTACTGTTGGTTGGTTGGAGCCCGCATTTGACTAAATTGATCATCATCGAATTAATGTTACCCAAAATGGATTGGAAATCGTACATTTCATTAAATGGTGATGAAGTCAATGAAACTTGCCATTGTTTAATATTCATCAATATCACTTGAATCTGGCAACGAAACTTTGAATAATGGTGGAATATTTTACCCATTTGGACTTTAAAGGTAGATGGAAGGTGATGATGATGAATCTGGTGATGATAATAATGAAAATAATGATGATAATAATGAATGGTAATAAGAAAGCAGTGAAAAGAAGAAGTAATTTGCTGCAAGAAAAGAAATGTAATCTTCACTTTTGACCATTACACATTTTTATGCCTGTTTGCAAGGAAATAAGAAAGAGGACGATTAATAATAGCAAGCCTTTTCCTGTTTGCATAAAATTACATTGTATTATTGTATAATGCTTTCTCTATACACTGTCCACTTTATCCTGGCTCTGTATTTGTGTGTATTTATTGTGAATTGACCCTAAGTGAGGGTGAAATTTGCCGCAAAAATTTGGATAACAATGAACATCATTTTTATGGTAAAATTTTTTGATTATACTCAGCAAGTAGGGTTGAAACTGCAAGTTCATTTCTTTCTGAACGAATAACTTTCTTTTTTTTCTCTCTTTTTTTTATTTCTTTTAGCCCCTTAATATCACGGTTATATGTAATTTAACAACAACTTGGAATGAAAAGTTTACCTGGTGAAATACGATGGAGTGGCAGAAAAAGACTTTAACCCAAGAAAAAGAAGAATAAGAAGAATGGAATGGAAAAATGGCAAAAAAGTAGAAAGTAATAATTATCCCTCAACTATCACATGAAGATTATGAGCTTTGGCCATTTATTAATGGGGTTTGTGATCTATTTGTGTGCCTCCAGATGAATCATCATGCATGATAATGTTCAGTGTTTCTCAATGCTAATCAAATGTTGTCAATTTATCGTTCATCACAAGTTATCTTCACAGTGAAAACCTTTAGTATAACAGTATAATTTGATAATCATGAGAAAATCCTAAACAGGGTTAGAGAAAGGAAATATTTTGATTAGAGTTGCTATTCAAATTGTTGGTTAGTATCACCATTACCAATATTATAGTCTATGGGTGATGATGAAGATGATGACGATAATGATGATAAATATTTGAAGATGGTGATTTTGATGAAAGTCAAAGTTGGACCAAAAAAACTGCTTTGCAAAGGTGGAGAAAGAAACAGCCTCAGAACAAAAAAACTGTTCAACGAATTGAAAGTAAAATATCACAAAACGTTGCAATGAAATGATAACTTGAGATCTAATGGATTTTTTATAAACCAACTGAAGGCAAATAGTTTTTTCAGATGCTGTTGTTGATGTTACTTCTCCATCATTATTTGCATTAGATTGTTTTTTTCGTCTTCGCCATTTTCTGCAGACAAAAAATAATGATGATAATTTACAATTTTTTTAATAGCTTATCATCTACTTGTTATCCAGTTGCATTACAAGGCTGTGATCAAATTGCCATGGTTACATTGAACCAGCACACATCGTCCAGCACCCAGAATGGTTAATGGTCTTCATGAGACATGATAATACGGTTCGTTGGATTCACTGGTTAAGATGAAATGGCAAACATGTTATTTTGAACGCATAAGAAGCAAGAAAAAAAGAGTCGCCAAATTTTATCTTCAGAGATTCTTCAAGGTAAACTTTGCCAAAAGGTTGAAGTGACAAACAAAAAAGAGGAAGGAGAATCAAGGTGTAGAGGAAAAGGAGGAGGATGCCGATGATGGTAGTGGTGACGATGATGATGAAGATGATGGTTAAAAGGCAAAAGAGTTTATCTAAACAAGCTCAACTACCTATTATTATGTTATTATGTTTTTGCAGATTCATTAACTTTGACTTTTCTCTATCTTGACCATCATCTTGGTGATGACATGAAATGCCTCCTGTTACATCTGTAATGAACCATTGGTCGACAAAATTAATTGTTCATCTAAATCATTATCTTTAATAACATGATAATCTTTCCTGATGATAACAACTCTAAGTAATTATTCAAAGGAATGAAGATGAAAGGAAATTTTCAAGACATGATAAAGAGAAACCAAAAGGTTGATCATCATCTTTCTAGAGATGAATGGATGTGGATGGATAATCTTTCTCTCTCTCTTTCTACATTCTTTATCATCCATTCATCATCAATGTCTTTGTTCAATCTCTTCTAAATTAACTGCTCTTTTCCCAATCATCAAATTTATAGTTACTCAAGATGGAATTGAAAGGAAAAATGAAACTTTGAATACTTTTCAAAATCTTTTCATGATATTTTTCACCTCTTTTCTGACTAACTTTGTTAACTTTAATGATTCTTATTCATTTTTTTCATCAAGGAAACACTCATTGGTTCCTATTCAACATTGACCTTCAGTTAATATGGTCCATCGAATCCATTTTAATCTGTTTAATCTCCTGATGTAGACTATTCATAAAGATGAAAGAGCTGAGAAAAGGTTAAGTTAAATGATGAAAAGTAAAGGTTAACTTTTATATTTGATCAAATTTTTTACAATCTAACCCAATCCATATAATTAATAGCATCACAATCTTGGTCAATTTGCTTCTGGATAACAAAATGAAATTCTGGTCAATCTTATATTCACCTTTTTAGCGATAATTTTCGCAATGTGAATTGACTGTATCATTTACCAATGGCTGATCATTGCTGAGCATATCATTGGAATGCTTTGCAGGTTGAAGTTGACATTTTGGTTCGCCATCAACGAGGATCAAGAATGATAATGATACACAAGATGATCGTTAACCTGAAACTATTTCCACTTGATAATGATTGGGATATACACGTTAAATCGTAAGCTATTGAAAATTATTTAAACAGAATCTCTAATAATATTGTGTGAATGATAATTATTTTGAATGGTAAATAATTACAATGTGTTAAGGTGTTAAACACTCCTTTAAATTGTGGCTTAACAAACACTCTCATTCAACTTGAATAATGTTTCCCCGATAATGCATAATGATAATCATTTTGGAAAGTTGCAAATTTGAAAATTATTTGTTTTCAATTTGATTACCATTATTGATTCAAAATAATCATCAAGCATCATCATGATTCTGATTAAAATGTTTTCACATTTAACCGGATAGAAACTTGAAGAGTAACTTTTTTTCTTTGGTCAACTTTCTATTGTACATTAATTATAAATAGAAATGATTTTTTTTCTATTCTCTAACGTTTTGTTTCTTTTTTTCTTACTTCATACAGTTTCTCATCTTATTGGTAAAAGGTCAACAAATAGCCAACACTGGGAAAGCTAGGAAAAGAGGGAAAAGCAATACAAACGGACCAAAGAGGCCAAACTGAGTGGGTCAATTTGATTTAACACGATTCAGTTCCATTTAATAGATGAAACTCGGATGATGGTGAACAAAGCTACCAAGCTCAGTTGATTATAACGATAATTAAATGTAAAGATAAGGCTCATCCATCATCGAACCAACACTGGTAACAAAGATATTTGCCTGCATCAATGAGGTGCCTCATCATTATTACCATAGGAATCCAGGATGCTTTAAGCCTAAAGGTTACATGAATTTGAGGTCAACTTCAAATCAAGATTGAGAACGATTTGATTTTCCTTTCAACTTATCTTTCCATCAAAGATGAAAACAAAATCAAATCTGATTATTTTACATTATTATTCGTGTTTATCGTAAGTTGTTTGTCATTATAATTTCAATGCAGTTTCAATGCATTAATATCAAGAAATTGTAAATTAATTGTCTTTTTTTTCTTGATCAACAGCTTTTACTTTTTGCTTCTTTGGATGGTTAACATGGTGGTTACTGACTGATTATCATAAATTATCAATTAATACTCAAGAGAAAGATTAGCAAATGGATAACAAGCATTTCATGATTAGTGTTGAACATCTTTTTCCGCCGTGGCTTACATGAAAATGAACCATTATTATAATGTTAACTACAGACCAGAAAACGTTCAAAATTAAAAAGCTACAAACTGGTTAAGAAAGTAAAATATGGTTTGTGATAATCTGTGGAACTCGATGGAACTTTGAAATTTCAATTCCGTTATGTTTGGCTTACTGTTGTTTGAAGTGTCGATTGTTAGCAGCTATCATGTGGAAAGGAGTCGAGTGTCCGGTTGAATAATGGTTAACATGCATAATTTCTGATCTTTGGCGTTTTCCATTTCTTTTTTATGAAAATTATCAGGCTTTCAACATATTGTAAGTGTAAAGACGGGTGGACTTGGGAAGAAGAAATGATGATAAAAAAGAAAGAGATGATCAGAAAGAGAGTGAGTCTTTTATAAAGGTAGACAGAGAGTAAAACAGGTTTTCTGTCTTCTCATCTTCTCTTCTTTTCCTGTCTTCTTTGTGTGTGAACATAACGTTCACTCCGCCAAACATACAATAGCCTTTAGTTGCCAGTTGATGTAGGCACAGTAAAGGTGGATTTGTTTGTGTACATGTTTGTTGCTTAGTTTTTGTATTTTTATTTCTCATTATTTTTCTCTCTATTGATGTTGTGTGTTTTTTACTCCCTGATCAGGTAAAAAAAAGGCAAGATGGAAAAGACAACAGTTAAGGTGAATGAACAAAAGAAGAGGATAATTCTGTGAATCATGTTACTACAACCGGATCAATTGAAATTATCAAGGTTAACATTGACTAATTGTTCAACACCAATGAAGTCCACCAAGCAAAGTGTCGTTGGATTAATTTTTAATTCACTTGTGTCAAGTACATCATCTCTTGTGTCCATTTGGATAATTTTATCACTACTCTCATCGCCACCACCACCAATAGTCCCAAACTCATCGTTATTTTCATTAGGATTTTTTACAATTGTTTTAACTTGCACAGCATCACCCTCATCGGTGCCCAATTCACATGCTGACAACAATTTTCCTCCTCGATTTACCTCGACCGGTTCATCTCTTGGTTCAGGCTCGGAAATTGTGATTCGAGTGAAGGAAGGCCCATCATCATTGGGTAAAGAAATTTACCGGTTAACTGGTGAAGATCCAGACGGTGATCCGTTAACCTTTGGTGTTTTGGGTACCTTTGGTGAGGATATACTTAAAATTGAAAATGTGAAACCTTCTCAAGCCATTATCTACCTGCGAAAAGAGCTTGACCGGGAAACTCGAGACTCTTATTCACTGGTTCTTACCTTGACAGATGGTAAACTTGGTAAAGGAAACTATGTAAGTAACCCACAATTTCTCGAGCATGTTTACCTTTTTTTTTCTTCTTCTTCTTCTTACCTTATCTTCTTATTTTACCTTATCTTTTACTACTTATCCTCTTCACCTTTTCCACCTCACCTTGTCTTCCCGTGACTTCTCCATATTTTTCCCTCGTTTAATATTTACCTTTCCCATCTTATCCTGTCTCCACTCGAACCCACTGTGACTCAATTGTTTAACTTTAATGAGAAAATGTAAATTAAGGGAACAAAACCAATCAAAAGTTCATTTAGCCTTTTCTATCAATTTACCCATAAATTAAAAGCCAATGTTTAAGGGATTAAACAATATGCTGGTTGCTGTTCTATTCATTGTTAATGATATCATGATCATTGTAAACTGAGTCTGGTTAGAAATGTTTCAGTTGAACCAAGCTTTCTAAATGGTTCAATAGTTTATCAATTTAATGTATTTTCTTGATTCTCTTCCCTTGCTCTTGATAATCAACGATGAACAAATTGAAAACAAATTCAAGTAAATTTAGCAAAAAAAGTAAGCCTTTAATGAATAGCTAATTGTTGGATCTGATTGTGTTCAAATCTTGAGTAAACATTGTTAACAGTTATGAATTGAGAGTAAAAATATCTTCTCATTGAAATAGATGAGCTTTAAATGAGGTCGAATGATCAATTGTCTTAATTAGCAGACATTCTGAATTCAGTAAATCTCATTGATAACAGAACGCCCTGAATAAAGTATTATACAGTTGACTAACAAAGTAACAATTTCATTAGTTGAACATTTCACTTGCATAATTATCATTAAAAGATGAAAAGCAAATGATTTATATCCAATTAGCACAATTAGAAGAGACGCAAATTGTGACAATTTAGATTCTCAAATGTTTTAAAAATGGAAAACAAAAGAAAAGTTATTCTCTTGAAATGATTAATTCTGATCATCTGAACATCTCTTGAAATTTGCATAACCCAAATCATTTCATTTTCAATGAGAAACGATGAAAACAATAATGATTTAATTGGTAAACAAGCGACCAACAATCAAACATCATCTAATGAATCAAATCTGCGTTTAAATTTAGACTATTCATGTTGATTAGATTTAATTGTTTCAAATGTTTACTTGAAATGCAAAGATGAACGATAGATGAAAACAGGAATTTAATCAATATTTGATTAACATGAATTTCAATTGAATTGATGATCAAAACAAACACTAAACACTGCAATTAACCAATCAATAAATGTTGGTATAAATTGCAATGAAGTGATATTAGAATTAATCATGATTAGGGAATTAATGTTAACCTAATCACGTTATTTGGTTAAATCGTGATTAAACATTGACAATTTAAATATCAATACAAAACCAATGAATATTTGATGTTTAAAGGTGTCAAGATGAGTTGAGTTGTTTATCAAACAATATCAAAGACTAATCCAAACCCTTTAACCATTTTAGGCGTTTCTTAATCATCTCTCAAAGTTCCAACTGAACCCTCATTTAAATGAAACATCATGATTCCAAACTGATCACATCAATAATAATCTTAATGATATACTTGTTATTATTTATATCTCTTCAATCTTGTGCTATAAATGTAAATCTGTTTGTAAAATCTGTTGGTCAAGAAAAAGGTGAAACAATTGATAAACTGTTTCCATCAATTTTCCCTCATAATTAACATCTGAATCAATATGATTTATCAATAGTTGAATGTACTGTTAATGACAACAATGAATGTGAAACACTTTTCAATCTTCCGTATTTACAATGAACATTTAGATGAGAAAGATTCTCATAAATATTTCCCAAAATCTTCCAACATATTGTTTAATCAATTATTTGCATTTTAATTGTTACCTACAATATTGGAATGAATCCCAAGTATTATTAGCATTGGTGTGAAACAATTTAAATTTCCCATCAAACTTACAATCAATGTTAACCTGCCAATCAAGCCAAAAGGTTAACCAATGAAAGGAAACAATTAAAAAGCTTCTCATTCAATAGACAATTTACATTTAATTTTAGACATTTTTTGTCATTCCAATTTATTAATATCAACATTTAAATATTTAATTATTCAGTATCAACAATCAATTAGAAGCTTGGAAACAATTGAAAGCTAAAATTCAGTTGAAACTGTTCCCTAATTGTTTGAATAAATTGTCTTCTTTTTTTCTGGCAATGTTAATTGTTTCAATCTCTTTTGTGCTTCTCACGTTAATTTGTCTGAATATTCAATTGATTCTCACTGAAAGTACGGAAGAATCATTAATCAGATAAAGATGATGATAGCTGATGAAAAAAAGGTTCAATAATATTGGAAGAAAAAGATTCATTGAGAGAAGAAAAAATGAAATTCTAATTCAATGTGAGTTCTTCCTCAATATCACACTCTTTTTTCATCGCTACTTAACTTTAATTGCATATCAGTGTTGATAGTTCATTGATGAAGAAAGTTGCGATGAAATGACCTGGAAAACGATTCGTTGTTACCAATGTTATCTCATTGTCTGATGAGGATTCTGATGCAGAGTCAAGCCTGGTTAGCTTAACCATGATAATCATTTTTGATGATAAGTGATAAAAAAAATCAATCAATGTTGTTGTCTTTGAAATTGCATTTGTTACTCATTGCTCTTGATCCATCATGGATTCAATTGAATGGTAAAAATTCAGTTATATTTATAACCATCTTTTGATAGATATATTTCATTTTATTTTAAACACTTTTTTTCCCATTTCTAGGCCAGCAACATCATACGCTCATCCATCATCATCTTTTCATTCATTATTCTCATCATCACTATCCTTCTTCAACATCTGCATCATGAAAATAACTTTCAAGAAAAATAGAAGAAAATTGAATTCTTTTCATTTGATTTTCCATTGAAACAAAACTCTTACATGTCATGATATCATTTACTTGATCAACCATTTAAAAATTTCATTGTCAGGTTCAAATTATATTTAGCAAATTAATTTAATCACTTTTCATTCAATATTCAGAAGAAAATTTCTTTCAATTGATTTATCCATTTCACCCTTAATCGTTAATCATTTGATTAATTGTTAACCTCATTTGTATCATTTCCAATCGTCAATTCAACTTTGAATTGAAACCAGAAACAATTCGAATCATGTTTTTGTTTTGCAAACCAATTGTTCAAATTGAAATCATTTTCACCACAATTAAAGGTTAAATTGTTGCCAAAAAAGAGTTAATTTTATTCCTGATTCTCAGAATTTTCATCTTTTCTAAAATTTGACTGAAAATTGCTGAAAATGTAAACTTAATTCATTAATTAACTCAAAAAATTAATATTTATTTGTTATGAAAATAGTCTGGAGATGCTTTGTAATGAACCTTTTTTTAATCAAGAAGAAGAAGAAAAAGGTCTGAATTTCAATTTTCAATGTTGAATGAATGACCCTTTTTAGGCCTTTAATTTTAATTGTTTAACTAATTGTGTTAATTTTTTATCCTCTTACAGATTACCAAATCCATGTTAATCATTGTTGAAGATATAAATGACAATGAACCGGTTTTCCGGCCTTTCCGTACAACTGTCAGTTTGTCGGAAAAAAGTCGACCCGGAATAATTGAAACTGTTGAAGCATTTGACCAGGATGAAGGAAGATTCGGACAAGTTTTGTATCAACTCCAGGTAAGTCCATTGAATACAAATTAATCAACAATAACAATTGAAAGACACTCAAGAGTTGAAACACTTTCTGAAGACAATTTGTCAATTTGTTTTGGGTTAACTTTCAAACCAGATTTTCCATAATCTTCAACAATATCATTTGAAAATTATATTTGATTGTAAATGAAATGATTGACTGATAATGTCCAGAGAAGATTGAAAACCGCAAAGTAAATAGACTAACCTGTTGATTGTGAGCCAGTTATGAAACCATTTACTTTGTGTGGTAGCCGGAAACCATTTTCACATGAGAATTTTTTCACCAAGAAAAGAGGAAAAAAAGTAAAAGAGAAAAAGTTCTTGATTCTAATAATAATCAGTCAATCTGACAAAAGGTTTTCTTCATTCAACTTTATGCATCTTCCCTTTCATTATTCAATCTAAAGACGTATCTTTACTCATCATTTTCAGGCTTATATTAGCATGAAGCGACAGTTGATAAAGAACTTTATTATTCTTCTTTTTAGCTTATTGTTTCCCTTCTGATAAAATAGTTTGGTGAACACAGAACAATGGTGATTTTTGAAGAGAAACATTTACTCAATCCAAATCTCAGGGAAAGTTTACCTTTATTATTGCTAATTAACTTGTCTGATTGTTATTCCAAGTGTGCAACAGTTAACTTTAATTGAGAAGGTAAAAGAAAAGGTAAAAAGCTTAGGTTGACATGGTAAAGATTGGTTCACAAATTGGTCTGACCATAACTCATTTGTTTTCCCATCAGCCCCATGTAACCCACCCTGCCTCTCTCACCATCTTGTGCGGTTTACTTTTGGCCAGTCATGGTAAACACGATAGTGATGATAATAAGAAGATGATAATGATGAACTTTGAAATTCTCACACCGCAACAATTCTTGACAAAAGTCTCGTGTAAATTGATAATAACCTTTGAGAGAATCAGTTAATTATCAAATGAGCGACATTATTTTCCTATTAAATCGCATAAGAAATTCATCTTACTCTTATGTGATTATCTTGATAATATAATCTAGTCCAGATTATCATATAAAACGTTTTCTCCCAAAGATGTGACAAGATTTTTGATACTTTTTACTATTTACTCATCTCTTCATCATAAACATCATTCTGATCCTAAATCTTAAACTCTGTGAAACTTTTAAACTTGCATGTGAATCATGTGAAAAGCAGTTCAACTTAAAATATTTACCAAACAAACCTAATCTTATTAGTTAATACAAGCTTATTTCATCTTTAGTCAACTTATTAATAAACCAACAAAGCTAATTGTTTCCTTTTGATCAACAATCAATATTAGATTAACAATACATCAAGTTGATTATAATCCTTGATAATAACAGGGATTATCAACTCATAACAAGCAAAACATTTTGTACCAACAACCCACAATCAGGTAAAAAAAGGTTCATCAAAATAACCATCAAAATGAACATTAAAATGAAGTAAAAAGGTAAACCAAACAATATGAGAAAAATGGTGAAAAAAATTGATTTAATTGGCTGAAAAAATTGCAATAAAAATTGAAAAATAAACCTTAATATGTACATATTTTAATATACATCATCTCTTATCTCATTGTATTATCATTCAAATACGTGTAGCCTTATTAACCTGACGCCCTCACATAATGTTTAAATTACTCGGGATAATAACAAGATTCATTATTAAAACATTTACATTACAACTCTTTACTAATCAACATAAATATGACTTCCGCACCTTTAACCTTATTTTTACGAACAACGAAAAATATGAAAAAGGTAAACTCATATTTCGCATCAATTAATATGAAAGCTTGTTCAACTTTCATTTGCTATTTTTACCTTCATCTTGATCAACTTTTGCCCAACTTGCTTTGATCGATTGTTTTACAATATTGATCAAGATTGATTGTTAATGAATCTAGGTTAGTTAAATGGTCAACAAAATTTATTGCATCAATAAAGATAATTTAAATTCCCATGAAGAAAAAAAGCGACCGCAAAAATTTTCCAGGTTGACCTTTTTTCTTCTTCTTTTCTGGGTTGAAGGTGAAAAGGTGAAAAGCTATTCATTTGTATTATAACCTAGTCGCATACCTTAACACCAAAGGTTAACTGCTACTAGAAGTGTCAGCATTCAGGTCAATGTATAAAAGGTCAACAGACTATTGGAGGTCAGTGGGATGAGATGTTTCAATGGCCAAGATCTATGTGTTTTTAAAAACAAGATTAACATGATTTGTAATGGTAATTAACTTTAAGACATTTTTCATGTTCATTAATTTAAATTTACTGGTGAGATAAATTGTAATTGTTGCCATTCTCATCAATACAAGCGTGTCAAACAATCATTTTAACAAGAAAAATGATTGTCTACTTGCCACAACTGAATTAGTCTTTTTGGTTAAAACGGTTTCATTTAAATTGTTAAATGATGTGAAAATTGAAGTCAATTGTTCAATAATCATTTTCTTACTCATCACTGCCATTAAACAACCATTAACTATTGATAGCTTCTCATTTTCATCCTCCTTAACCTCGCAGGAATCTCTTACCTGGTCAATGTTTATTGTTGATATTGATTCTGGTTAACCTTATTTCCAGAGTTCATTTTACATCAACTTTTATTTCATCTTGTTTTCAGCTTGAAACAAACATTAAATTTAATGTTATTTTGATAACACGTTGTTAAAAGATCATAAAAATGTTAGGTTAAATTAGATGATATTTCATGCAAAATTTTCAGTTTATTTCAGCATTTCATTTTTATTGACTTTACTTATGAAAAAAAAAGATTTGATTTTCACTTTAATTGTTCAAATCAAATCACTTAACATTTCCTCTTATTCAATAACCTCAAGACAATTTATCCAAGTGAATCTAATGAAAGTTAATTTTGGGGAAAATCTTGATTGCTCAGTTGATGAACTGATTAACCTTCAATCATGCTTGAATAGTGTCTTTCATATTGTTGTCTTTACTATTTATTGTTGAAATTAATTCATTTGTTTGTACTTCTAGGAAATTGATAAGGAAAATAATGGACCGAAAACGTTTTCAATTGAAACGGTTGAAGGTAAAGGAGTTATCAGTTTGGTCGGCGATTTGGACTATGAAAGGCGATCACTTTATCAACTGAAAATACTCGCAATTGTAAGTAATTAAACCCTTTAATTGTCAAACTTGAAACAAATTAGAAGATGTATTTCAAGATATATAAAACTGTTTCTTGGTTTTTGCCATCAAATGTTAATTTCAATGAAACTTCGCCCACAACAAACTCCAAAATTATAACTGTAATATATTAGACGATATAATAACGAAGGGAAGAGGTAAAAAAAGGAAAGGCAAATTCATTTAATAACAGTAACAACAATCAAGTTAATTTATAAATTATACTCTTAAATGAACCTTTAATAGTAAATCCAATGAGGTCAAAGCATCTTAAATGCAATTGTTTCGTCAATATATATATAAATGGACCAACATCTATTACCTTCATCTTCATCAATATCATGGAAAACAATAAACAGCCTTTTTTTACCTTTCCTTTTTAATGTGTTTTTTGGCTTCTCTCAATCTTTTTTTTTATTTGTTTCTTCTTCTTCTCACCTTTCCTCTTGATCCTCTTTTACCTGGATTGTTGCATGATAATTGCTATGAACAAGAAACGCTTCTTTTCATTGTTATTTCATCAACTAGCTCACTTGATCATGATTAATTAAAATACTGATGATAATTGAAATAAAGCTAAATATTGAATAGCAAGGTTGATCTAAATTTCAATTGTTTACCATTGCTGAAGCTCATCTACTATCCATTACCTTTTGTTTATCAATTGTAAGCTTTAATCACAATTAACCTTCTAATTAGGTTTGACCTTTCAATTGTAATTAATAATCATTGTGAGCTTTGATGGGTGAATATCAACAATCTTTACAATCAGTCACGGCTGATGAAACAGATTTCAGATTAAAAAGAGATTCAAAGATATTGATCGTGAACGATGAAAAATTGTGGTTAACATGAAGATGAACAAGATGAACAAGATGAGCAAAAAAAGATGCTAAAAAAATTCCTATTGTGGGAGTAAAGGTAAACAGTTGGTAAAAGGTGAGCAATGATTGTATTGACCTGGGACAATCAATCAATCAAATAATCAACCAGCCAATTGATTTAGGAATTGATTGATTCTCTCATGACCCTCTAATAATCCAACTGCTCATGTGAATCACTAATAATACTTTTCTTAATTTCAAGGTTTTCAAATTTTCTGTAGTTTCCTTTCCAATTGAAAAATGTCAATTGTTTCTCAAAATTAGCTAATTTTGGTTGTAATAAAAAAGGTAAAAATAGTTGTGCAAATATCTGTAATTAAAGTTTACTGTTAATTTGAAGATGCTGTTATTGTCCTAAATAAGTGTTTCAATTTGCTTCTTGCTGTTACCCACAGAAGATGCTTTTAAATTTTACGTTTTCTTATTTTCTATTTTTCATTCTCATTCCAAATTCAATTTTACAATTTAACATCAATTTAAACTGTAAATTGTACAGAATCAGGTAAATAACATTTCGTTGAATAAAAGATTCGTTGATTGGTCAGTTATTGAACTTTACTTGGAAACAAATTGATATCAGTTTACTTTGTTTCTTTACTTTATTTGCATTTTATTTTATATTGAGATTGAATCGACAATGTTTCCGTTGTTTCTGCTGATAACTTTATTTCCTGTTTACATGAGCTTCACTGATAATGTTCAATGAGGTGAACATGAAGAAATGAATGGACAAAAGTTCTTGTAGTTTTTGCTCATCACTTTTTAAAGGATTGGCTCAAGGTTTTCAAGTTGAAATTTGTTATTAAAGTTGTGAGTCCATGATGGTTAGGATGAAAGATGAAGTGTTTCAGGTGCTGTAAAGGAAGTAGCACAATAACAGGAAATGGTCAATTAGATTTTGTTCATTTGAATGGACAAAGTGTTTACTTGTTGATTCCTTTAGTCAATGGTTAATGACTTTCAAATGGTTCATTAAATTGTTCAATAGTTTAGATTTAATTGGTCAAAAGATCAAGTTTAATGAGAAACAAAATATTAATTGTTTAAGAGGATTGAGGTTTAATTGTGAAATTTGATTTTAAATTTTATTTAAATTTCAAGTTTAAATGTTTACTGTTAATCAAATCTCAAGTACCTGAACCTCTCAACATCATGAAAAGTGTGAAGAGTCTCAACTTGAACTTGACTCTTCTGAAAGACACTTTTCTCGAGAAAAAGTAACCTTCATGACCTGAATCAACTTTCATGATGAACATTCAAAGTCTGGAAATCTCTATGGAAGTTTATTGGAAAAACTTCATGATTGAAACTCATTAATTGATGAGATCAATGTTTCCTTATTTCAGTCTTCTTTTTGTCTTTTCATTTCAACTTGTTTCCATTGATTTAATGTAACAAAAAACAATCAAATTTAATATGATTTGAGCTTAGCTTTTAAGGTTCATTAAAATTTATTGTTCATTTCATCTCATTCTGGATTCATTTTGAAATTTATCTCTTCCTAAACTTGAATTTAAACGACATTTTTTATCAACTTTGTCCTACTGACTTGTGAGATTAATTGTTGCTAATTTAATTTAAGGTTTACAGCAGCTCTTCATATTAGCTTAATTGCGTTTTTATTTCACAGTTAACCAGATTGTCGAGTGTCATTATACTGTTGTACAACACTGTCAACTTTATTATAATCACGATGACCCAAGAATAATCCGAATTGTTTGTTTTGAGCCTTTTTTTCGCTCAATAAAAGTTGAAACCAGAATCAAAAGTAAACTAATTTCATTGGGAGAAGAAGATTTGAAAGATGAAAATGATGAGGATGGAAGAATGGAAGAATGATGATAATGTTGAGACTGTTTAACCTGATTGAAGTAATGAAATGATTGTTAATGGTTACAATTTCAAGCGATTGTGAAGCCTTTTTTTAGTGGGCCAAGTTTGACCTACACTTAAATAAGCATTGTTTTCATCATTCGCCTTCATCTCTCATCTTTTTTTCACCTTTTTTATTTTACTTCATCTAACATGATAAAGAAACGGTAATAGGAATAAGGTTTGCCTATTTAATGCTTCTTATCCCATTCACATTTAATAGATAAACGATTAAAATTCAACATGAAATGTAATATTATCATTATTATCATTGTTATTGAACAAGTTTAAGGCATCAACAGTTGGAAACATTAACATTGGTCAAACTTTCATTTGTAACCAATAGCCACGCCTGTAACTTTGAAAGCAAAAATTGACCTCAAACTATTTCTTTCCTATTTTATTGTTACTCGTCTCATCATCTTTATCCTTACATATGATTATTATTATCATTATGACCTGGAAAAGGAGAAGCAGACTGCAATTTTGGTACTTGAATTGAAATAACAAGTAAAAATGATACATTTAAATGTGTATTAATGTTACATAAATGAAAATGTTTTTTATTTCATCTTTGAATTTGATCTGCCAATCAAATATTTAATGATATATTAAATTTCACACTCAATATTGAATAACCTCAACAAATTTGATTACTTGTTAATCGACAATTTTTTTGTAATCTTGAGTTTGCCTCTTCTTTTTTACATGCAAACATGATTTTGTTTTATTCATCAATTTTATTGAAAGTTATTAATAGTCTGATTCATTTATTTCCGTACATTTCAGGATCGAGCCATTGAAGGTGACCGACATACAGCTACTGCAACCCTTTTGGTGCGAGTTGAAGATGCTGAGGATAATCCACCGATATTTACTTTTGTTCCCTCCGTAACTCGAATTCCGGAAAATCTTTCTCCAGGATCAGAAGTTCTTCGTGTCATTGCCGTTGATGGTGATCGTGGAGTCAACAATGCAGTCACTTATCGAATTGTTAGGGGAGGCCAAGGTCACTTTACTATCAACCCTTCCACTGGTACAGTTACAGTGGAGAGTCCACTTGATCGGGAAGAGTCCATTAGACGAGGGTCGGCTAACAGTGCTTACATCTTGGAAATTGCGGCAACTGAAGTCACTGTTGCTGTTTTTCCACCTCCAAGCGTTTCAACTGAAGTTACCATTATTTTGACTGATGTCAACGATGAAAAGCCCACTTTCAAGTCTGAATCGTATACGGTTGAGATTAGTGAGAATGCTCAGGCTGATATGCCGGTCAAGTTTATTGGAACTGGAGATGTACCTCAAGTGTATGATTACGATCAGGGAACTAATGGCACTTTTACGTTAACATTGGAAGGTGACTCTGCTTCTATATTTGAAGTGACTCCAAGTGAGGCCATCAATGAGGCTACTTTTGTGATCAGGGTTAAGGATCCAAGTTCACTTGACTATGAAACTACTAAATCATTGACAATAAATCTTGTTGCTCGAGAAAAGGCCTTTTCAACGGAATCTCGATCTTCAACTGTTCCTGTTACCGTTCATGTTAAAGATGCCAATGACAATTTTCCCACCTTTGACCGTGAACTTTATCGAGCCTCAATTCCTGAGAATGCTGTCAAAGGAGCCATTGTGACTCAATTGAAAGCCACTGATGTTGACTCGGGCAATTATGGAACAGCTGGCATTCGTTATACTGAATTGTCTGGTGAACTTGCATCTAAACTGTCTTTGGATCAAATGACTGGTATTATAACTCTGGCTACATCGGAACATGGCCTGGATCGGGAAACTTTGGCTCAATATTACATTACCGGTGAAGCTCGAGACAATGAAGGAACTGGAAATCGTAATACTGTGCAAATATTTTTGACCATTGAAGATGTCAATGACAATAAACCTCGCTTTATGGAGGATCGTTATGAGGCTCGCATCTATGAGAATGAAGTTTCTTTTGTTAGTCCAGTCATTCTTCGAGCCATTGATGCCGATGCTCAAGGAACTCCAAATTCACAAGTTAGATATTCAATTGTCGATGGTATCTACAAAGACAATTTTACCATCGATGCTCGCTCAGGCCGTCTTAAGGTTAAAGATCCTCTTGACTTTGAAAGGATCAAACAACCAATGGGTGAAACAAAAAATATATCTCTAGTGATTCGTGCCTCTGATCTAGGAAGTCCATCACTCTTTAGTGACACCGAGTTGACCGTTATAGTTTACGACAAGAATGATCATTCGCCTATTTTTCAACGCTCTTCGTATGCCAAATCAATACCAGAAGATATTCGTGATGGATCAATGGTTGTCCAAGTAAAAGCTATTGATGGAGACCATTCACCAACCAACTCAAGAGTCTTTTACCGTATCTCTTCTGGTTCACAGGATAAATTTGTTATCGATCCAGATTCGGGTTTAATCTCAGTTGCTACTGGTGCCAACCTTGATCCTGATCGAACCAATCCCAAGCAAACAACTTATGCTTTAGTCGTGACAGCTTTGGATGGTAACTTTGGTCGAGATCAGAAACAATCTCAGGTTATTGTTAATATAACGGTGGTTGATGTCAACAATAAACCACCATCTTTCATTGAACCCGGGATTGTTTCAGTTCCTGAAGATGCACCTATTGGCTTTTTTGTGACCCGAATAGCTGGTAAAGATTTAGATGATCGTCCTCTTTTAAGGTATTCAATTGATTACATGTTAAGTGAAGCCCGGAATCAAGTTGGCTCAATGGTTGATTGGAGTCTATTCAAGGAAGCTTTTACAATCAATTCAGCCGATGGAACAATTCGAGTAAACAAAGAGTTGGACAGAGAGACTTGGGATCAAGTTAAATTGTATCTAATTGTTGAAGATTTGGCAGCAGTTACACCAGGACAAAGAGCGTCTGGTAAGTTAATTATCCAAGAGTCAAGAGCATTGAAAGATACAATTCCGAGAAATGAAATCTAATACTAAAGTCAAGTTAAATATGAACTCCAAGTTGATTATTAGAAAATGCGTTGATCACTTGAACTTTACATTCAATTGTATCTGTAATACAAATAGATGTTAATTTGTTTCCATTCAGCTCATTGACCTTTTTAAATCATGTTACCAGTTATGTTAAGATGTCTACCGGTTAAATTACCCAGAATTTACTTAAATTGTGTAAACAAAAGAAATTGGTTTAATTGTAAATTTTATTGTTTACCAATCCTTACTAACTCTTTATGTTTTTTTTTCTCGTTGATTAATTTAGCTTATTTAACAATAAAAATTGCTGATGTTAATGATAATCGACCTGTTTTCCTGAAAGAGCTATTTACTGGTGCTATAACTGAAAATGCGGCTCTTGGAACACCAATATTATCGGTTAAAGCAGACGATTATGATTTAAATAAGACAATTACCTATTCATTGGAAGGTCGTAAAGAAATACTTGATTTAATTGAGATTTCACCCAGATCGGGTGATATTGTGGTTAAGGGTAAAATTGATAGAGAAACATATTCATGGATCAATTGTACAGTAAGAGCAACCGATGCTGGACCTTCACCATTATCCAGTCTTTCAAAAATATCTATTCAAGTATTTGATGAGAATGATAATAATCCGGTTTTCATTGTTAATGGTAACAATAAACTTACCTTTACGGCACCTGAAGATGCACCAATTGGTTCCTTAGTGGCTCAAGTAACGGCTCATGATGATGATGTTGGTCCATATGGTAAGGTTACTTACCTTTTAGATGCATCCTCATCACAGGGTAAATTCAAGATTGATAGAGATACGGTAAGTTTGACTTTTTTATGCTTCAATTTGTATAACAAAAAGCTTTAAACACTCAGAGACAAAAATTATTTAAAACAGATTTTAGAGTTATTCTGAATTTTACTCAACAAAGCGATTAATTGTTTCCACAGATGATCAAATCATTGAGTTATTATGAATCAATTTCACGTAAATGCTAATGTCTTTGAATTAGACTCAATCTGATCCTTTCATGGTTTCACTTTCAGAGCAGAAAATATTCCCAATTTTTATCTTAAATTTTAGATCATTTTGTGGATGATTTTTCATTAAAACTTACATCCAGACATCAGATCAAATTCAGAAAGAAATGTGAAAATACTTTGTTGTTGTTGAACAAAAAATAATGATATTTGGTCCTTAAAAGACATTAAATTCTGGTCCTTTTGCTGGATTTTTGTGTAATTTCATTTGCCTTAAAAATTGAAAATATGAAATTTCAAGTCTTCCTCGTTAGATTAAAATTTGTCATGATTTAATAATAAACAGTTTTTCTGGTTCTTTTTTTATTTTGTGAAATGATAGTCCAATGATGCTTTTAATAATAGACATTAGAGACAATTTGTGTTCTAATATTAAAAGTAATGCTAATAATGTTGATGGTTATGATGATGATTATGAGATTGTGAGATGAAAATTAAGACTAACACGATTTGATTATTTGATATTGTAGACTTAACCCTTGAATCAATTTAAAGTCAATCTTGATTATATAAAAAGTAAAGGGATTAAGTCAATGTTAATAGTGACCCTGATTAAAATGAAACATTAAATTGTTATAATTCAATCTAATCACGACCTAGCCTTTAGATTAGACTTTAAATATACAAATTGGCAAACGAAACTTGACAATCAAGAGCAGCTTTATTAAAATAATGATAACCCTTGAGTCCAACTCTAGGTGAAGGAGTTGAAACAACATCATCATCATCATCATCATATTCATCGTCTAAATTATAATTAAATATCAAACTAGTGTAGGTATAATCATTGAATTATAAATATCAACATGATGGTCATCAAATTGGTAAAATGAAAGCTCATCTTAATTATAGCCTTTTGCCTAAAATGTAAACACAATCTGACAATTTGTGAATACATTAAACACAACCGTTAATCAAATGTAGCCCAACTAAAAAAAGAGTTAAATTAATAACAAACATGATTTAAATATTAACCTTTCACTTTGTTTTCCATCTTTAATCAGGGATCGATAATTGTGGCCAACAAACTGGACCGAGAAGAGACAAGTTCCTACAATTTACTGATTCAAGCAGTTGACAATTACGAGTATGGTTTTGTTACGGGTGAATCAAGGCGAGCCTTTCAACAGATTATAATCACAATTAGCGATGTAAACGATGAAACACCTTTCATCTCAATTCCTTCAGGATGTTCAACTGCCAATGAATTTTTACCTCTTCGTGACACAATCACAGTGTTGACTGCAACCGACAAGGATGATCCTTTAACACCAAATGGACGACTCAAGTTCACCATTGTTGGTGGTAATGAAGACAAGCTGTTTGATATTGAAACAGTGAAGAGTACCAATCCTTCATTGTCACTTCTTTCACGATCTATTAGACAAGCGCCACAATCTTCATCGTCTTTGTCCACTCTTCAAATACCTGGTATCAGTCCACTGTCAGAGGCTTCAGCGCGAGTCTTTAGTATTAACTCACTTCGAGCTCGAGTTGGCAATTATACTTTAAAGGTTAAAGTTGAAGATTCTGGATCGCCATCAAGATATTCAATAGCCTCAATACCAATATGTATTAGTGATGTAAATGATCGATCACCAACCTTTCTTTACCCTCCGGTTAATCACACAATCAGGTTACCAGAAAATTCAACAATAGGTTCACCCGTGATTGAGGTTAAAGCGGTTGATGATGATTATGGTTTAAATTCAGTGGTTAATTACAAGTTAAGAGAACTGCCCAATGGCCATTGGAAAACCTTTAAAATTGATAAACAATCAGGTAACTTATTTTACTTCAAATATCACATTTTCATTCGTTTTTCTGATTATTCTTTCCTGAAACTTGATTTAGACGAAATGTTTTCAGATTTCAATTTTATTATATTTCGATCCAAATTCATCTAAACTCGCACTTTTTTCAAATATTGACTGGAAATTGAACAGAAAATGAGTCAAAAGTGATTTAAAAGCTAAAGATCAATCATTCATTGAAAATTCAGCAAAAATTGAAAAAAGCTAATTTTCAGGTTATACACCACTCGAAATTCCTGAACTATTCATCTTCGATGATAAAAATAAGACAGAATCTTGACTCTAAGCACAAATGATTTCAATGAGCAGCTTTCATTATTCAAAAAGCCACCAAAAACAACTCTCTAACAATTTTACCACAATAATTTCAAAATATCATTTTCCAGCAAAAAGATCAAATTTTTGCTTCTTAAGAGCTTCAAGTTTCATGAAATGCATTTGAAAACAAATCTCAAAGCAAGTATAAAATTGCACATTCAATAGTAATTAGCATTCAAGATTGAACAAATGAACCTTTAGATGAATGAAATTGACTTTGGAAATTCTGAAAATTATCAGTTTGAGTTTATCAATTAATTTGATTTTAACTTAAGTATTGAAACTGACCATTACTTGAAAAGAGTCCAACAATTTTGGGTAAACCTTCAACAGGCGAAGTTTCTTGAAACTCGTAAATGCCATCCAATGTTTGCCAACCTTAACAATTTGCATAACAATAATTTATTAATTTATTATAACTCATAATTTATAACCATTATTATCATCCCTGGTTAACGCCCTCACAATACGTGATTAGATTAAAATCATAATCATCTTAATCATAATTTATCATCAACATTCAACATCCTTAGTAATTGACAAATCAAACTTGTTACCAGACTCTAGATTCAAACAATTATGATATTTACTCATCACGTTTAACCTTTATTTTACCTGTTGTTACCATTTGTTTCATTAAACCTATTCAACGAGTTATTAATTGTCAACATGAGCCTTTAATCTCTCAAGGTTGATGAGGTTTCCGGCTCTATTCAGGTTATCATGAATTGTTTCAAGTAAACTTCAATACTCTGTTTTTTATCGTTTTGTTTAATTGTGTGTTTCCCTCATTTCAGGATTGATTACTTTGGTTAAAACGCTGGATCGGGAACGTCAACGCATCTATGAACTTCGAGTTGAAGCTTTTGATCTTGGTGAACCAACATCGTTATCCACTGATTTAGATATAACCATTTTAATTACCAACGTAGATGACTTTGAACCCGAATTTACCGAAGATGTTTTCCAGGTTTCCTTTACTGAAAACACTTTACCAGGAATTGAATCTTTCAAGATCTTACCAACCATTGATAAAGATGAAATGGACGATCCTCTTGAAACAGCAGTTAAATCAATTCCTTGTTATTACATTGTTGGTGAGTAAATCATTAAATGGTTGGCATAAAATTACCGAAACCAGTGAATCAAAATTAAATCCTTTACCTCTTTGGGTTTAGATAATATTTTGATATTGAATGCTATTAAGATTATAAATCTATTTTCTGGTAGTCAATTTATTATAATACTTGTAAATCAGTGGCTAGTTTGGGTTAAATATTGTTTTGAAATTCATAGAGCATCCAATGATTTACTCATTATTGTTATTCATAAGTAATTATCACAATCATTTGGTAAATTATTAGTATTCATTAGAAGCCTTTCCAATCATTGTTGTAAGTCTGTTGAATCAAAAGCCTGATAATTTATTGTTATGATTTTAATCACTGAAAAGGTAAACAAAAGGCTAGGTTAGCTTATGAAACCAGAAAAAAGGGTTATAAAACTGGTTCTATTAATGTGAAATTGTGTTGTGCCTTGAATGCACAATTAGATGTTCATCAAAGGTTAATCAAAATACAGTTTACACTGGTTAATATTGATGGTTAACCTGATGGTTTAATTGATAATTTAATTGATGCTTATGGAAATGATTTATTTTGATGTTGACGATAAAAGATGAATTTGAAAGAGAAAGTTAATTCATTTTTTGCCATTTAATTATGATTTTAATCAAAGTCGTCTCTTGCATTGGATTAAAACTTTACTCTTTTTTTGTTGGCTATTAGGCGGCAATGAAGATGGTGCATTCAAACTGGACCTTTTGACCCACCAATTGACTGTAACTCGACCATTGGACAGAGAAACTCGGTCAACCTATTCATTGATTATTCAGGCAACCAATGATTGTTTGAAAGAACCCAAAAAGGTTGATAAATTTGATCCTCGAGATAATTCATTGCTCCAAGTTGTCATTAACATTAAAGATGTTAATGATAATCCACCTAAATTTGTGAAACCCATTTTCACCGGTGGAGTTACAACTGAAGCAGATTTTGGTACAGTTTTCATGTCTGTCAAGGTAAATACATATTTTCTGGTTTACAATATTTAGTTATTTTCCAGAAAATCTCTTCTAATTTATTCTAAAGAAATTATTTTTTGGAAACGGCTGGTTCCATGGTTTGGTTTCCATGATATTTAGTATCAAAACCAACCTAAATGAAACCAAAACCAAATGTTTGAAGTAATTTTTTTCACGTTTAGCTAAAGTGATTTGGTATGAGAAAAGATTTTAAAATTTACTTCTCAGTGCATTTCGGGTTTACAAATCAATGAAATGAGAAGAATTCAGTTTTACCTGAAATTCACTTTACAAATGAGATTAAACTCTTTTTTGTCAATTTCAGGCAATCGATGCTGATGAAGGTCCAAATGCGGTTGTTAACTACTTTATTGTTGGCCCACAACGACGTAAATTGTCAATTGGCTTGGATACAATAAAAGACGATCCATTCCTGGTGAACCGGAAAACCGGTGAAATTGGATTGAATTTTGATCCAAGAAAAGATATGAAAGGTTACTTTGAATTTCAAATAATTGCTAATGATTCCAGAGGATTACATGATACAGCTAAAGTAAAGGTAAATAATCATCAAAGTAAAGGTAAAATTGGTTCACAATTAACCTAATCTTTTCTTCTTTTCCCTTAAGATTTACTTGTTGAGAGAAGATCAAAGAGTTCGCTTTGTTTTACGATTAACTCCATCAGAGTTACGGGAAAGACTGGAGAAGTTCCGAGAGTAAGTATCAGCAATCAGTTAATTCCTTGTGTTATCGGTTAAATCAGAGTATGGCTTGGCTTTTAATTGTTTCCTTCAAACTCAATGAATATATTGCGGTGAAATATTTAATTTGTTTCATCAAATTTTATCAATGATAATCCATTTAATCGGCAATCTTGAAATCTTTAGGTGTGTCAAAGGAGCGTTTTAAGATTAAAATTAGTATGAAAAATAATTATAATTAGAAACCAACAAAAAGTGTTACTTTATTGTTGTTTAATTGATATTCAGTTTTAATGAAAATCCTTGTGATTTACATATTTAAACAATTTCATTTTTCTATTTACAGTGTTCTTAGCAATATAACTGGAGCAATTGTAAATGTTGATAATTACAAATTTCATTCAAATGGCGATGGAATTGTTGATAAATTAAAGTAAGTTGAGTCTCATTCTCTATTTATGATTAAACTAATGATTTATTGTTCATGTTTCACCCTCAGAACCGACCTTTACCTTCATTTTGTGGATCCAAATGACAATTCAATCATGGATGTCAATAATGTCCTTAAACTGATCGATAAAAACATTGACTATTTGGATCAATTGTACAAAGATTTCAATGTTTTAGTCAGTGAGGTAAGTTGAATTGAATAATGTTACTAATTGTTTCAAACGATCCAGTTAAGTCATGAAATTTTGAGAAAATAAAGATTCTTTCAAAGTCAATCTGTTTATTCAATCCTGAATGGCATCCAAATCTGGCATCTATTTGGGTTTAGGTTTGACTTGAATCACTTGTAATCAATCATTTGTAAGTTAGTGATTAACTGAACTGATTTTAACTTTGATTCAACTTTGGTTGATGTTAATTGTTTGAAACAATTAGTTAAACATTTGAGTTATTGATTGAATAATAATGTTTATCTCTTTTACCAGCCATCGCAAAATCGTGAAGAAGTGTTAACATTTGATGATCAACTGAAAGCTTGTTTAATCAGTTCAACAGCATTTCTATCACTTTTATTGATGTTGGTTACCTGTTTATGTATCAATCAACGAAATAGGTAAAGTTAATTGTTTTCGCCGTATTTGTTTGTTTCATCAATTGTTTCTTCATGATTCTAATTCTTCTTTATTTTACTCAGATATGAAAGACGCTTGAAAGCGGCCACAGCAACTGCTTTTGGTCATCGAGATCCTCAATTGAACCGGACTAATGTTCCCAACACGAATATTCATGCTGATGAAGGTTCCAATCCTATCTGGATGACAGGTTATGATAATGAATGGTTTAAAGATGATGAACAAATGAGGTAAACATTATTATCCTCAAATTAACAATAATCATTCACCAGATAAAATAATTTCAGTAGTAATCAAAGTGTTCAATTCATGATTATTTTAGATACTTTGAATATTCAATATTTCATTCTCTCGTTTTCATCAATTGTTTTGCACCATTTATCTTCTTCTTCTTTTTTCTTCTTTTTAACCTTAAATTGCTTATTATTAAATCTTGATTATAAATTGTTGTTTTCAGTTTGTGTGCATAAAAAATTGATAGGTTATAATAATCAAAGGTAGCTTTTGGTTTGTGGGTTAATCGTTTCCACGAAATGATAGTTTTGCTTAGACTTTATGGACTTTCTCTTTATTATTCACAATCAATTTCATGATTGTTGTTATTATTCATTTTATTGGTATTTAATTTAACCATTTAATTTTAATGTTAAAACTGTGTGAACATAAAATGGTCATTAACTTCAATCATGTTTACTTGTTCAAGTTAATTGAATTGCTTTTTTTAACAAATCTTCAAGTTACATTTTAGTTATATATTTTTTTCATTTCGTTCATTTATTTGAGTTGAAAGTTTTTTGAGTCATCTTGTCTAACAAAATTAAAGAAACAAAAGACAAGCTGATTGATAGTATCCTACGATCCTATGAGTATCCTTAGATAGTAGTAAATTAATAGCTTTAATTAGCTTTATTTTGAAACTATAATACTATTTGTGTTTGAATATGAACTTAAATTTCTTGTTTTTTCATTTTTTCACAGTCACAATTCAAATGGGAACAATTCATTGGATGAAAATGCTGTCTCCGAAGGATCAGGAGTTGGCACTGATGGTGGATCAAATGGTGTGCTGATGAATGGTCCACTTACACCTACTGATTCGTTAAATGAAAGCCACCCTGGAACAGGATCAGAGTCATCAACAAATGATAAATCAGCTCTTTGTCGTGGAGTTACGGCGGGTCGATTGACTCCGCAAAACATAACCCTACCTTCATCTGCAACCAATGGCAGGGTTAACAATAATAACAAGAAAAACTCTCAACGGCCTTTGGTTAATAAAAATTGTCTCAATGGCAGTGGAACCAATAATGGTAACCATTCAATTGGCCGAGGAAGTTTAGTGAATAATGTTGTCGGTGGTGTGGGAGTTAGAGGTGATTCGTTTAGTGGTAAAAGATCTGGGAATCAACTGTCTTGTAAAAACTCAATCAACACAGTTTACATTTCATCGCCTTACTCGGACACTTCTCAGTACCATTCAAACCAGATTGGCGGCAATAACTTAAGCATAATCAATTTGGAGACAACTGAATTGTAACAATTGTAATATAGTTAATTGGCAAAAGACATTATCAAATACTTCAACCTCACATCGCCATCATCAACTTTAACGCTAAATGTTATATTTTTAGTCTCTTGATGATTTGTTCTTGACTATTTCTGCCATCCTAATTGTTTTTACATGCAATGTTTTCTAAGTCATTTCTTCACCTTCCCTAAATCACAATTAACTTTGATTTCAAACCTCTTAACCATCTTCATCTTCTTTAACTCTCTTCATTGCCAAAGATTGGATAGGTTGATTATAAATTTTGTACAAATTATCTTTATTTTCATTTCCTTCCTTCTTTTTTGTAATTGTGATTGCTGAATACTGGTCAGTCATTCCAACATGAACAATCCATATCAGACTACGAATTGATTGTCCAGGCTTAGCAAATCAGCCAATCTCATTGTAAATAAAAGATGTTTACTATTTTTTAAATAGTAATTCAATTTGGGTAATTTGTTTGTTACCAAATCTAATGACTACTAATTGTAACTCTTTTTTACCAATTGTATAATTTAAAGAAATATTTATCATTGATTGATAATATTGAAAGGCATTGATGTTTTATAATATCATTCAATGTATTATTAAAAACCGTGCCAACGCTTATCATGCTAAAAAATGCTCGTCTCAGATTGAGTATCATTTAATAATGACTACTTAATGATAAAGATTTGTTCTAAGCATTAATTGTTTATTTTTAAATCAACATTTTGTGAACAAAGTTGTAATACATTGCTAAAATTTTGAATAAAATTTATCTCCACCTTTTCATATGAGCGGCTCAATTTATTTATTAAACTGTCTCACAATCAGTCAATTTTAAATTGAATATTCAATTAGACTGATGATTTCCCTGCAAGCCAGAGCTAAAATCAATTATACAATCTTGATTATTCATGATTACATCGCCATCGGTTCACGATTTGATAATACATGTATTAAGAATGCGAACACTAAGAATCTGGTTTCTTTCTTTATTCATTTTTTACATTTTTCGTCATTGTCTTTCTTTCGTCTTTTTGCCTCTTTCTTCTTCCTTGTCTAATTCAATTGTTACACATTGTAAGCATAAAATTAGCTCATTTCATCGGATTTCAACTTTTCGATTTATTAGTCAACAATTGATGGTAACAACGATATTAATGTTTAAAAAGAAATCTTCGGAGGTTGAAATTCTCTATTATAATGAATCTTTGAAAGTATCTCACAAGGAAAGTAACCTCGTTGGTACGGGCAGATCAAAATGAAAGTGGGTTTAATGGAAAGCCCGTGCTAGAAAACCCCTAAAAATATTAATCTCCCATGGAGGAAATCGATCTGAAAAAAGTTACAGGGTCGCAAATGTTTTAATCACGGAGGTCAAAATGATTAATAAAATCGAATTAGAGATAGATATTTTTATCAAAATAAACTATTTAGGTGTAATTGATCATGAGGGATGCAAATCTGAAATCAGTTTACAGTAAAGTACCAGATAATGACAGTACCAGATAGTGACAGTAAATTTGTCAATGGTCCCTAATTAAGGAGGGGTTTAAAAAATCTGTATTTTTTCAATACACTGCCCGGCGAATAGTAGGAATAATCTACAGTGAGATCCCAGATAATGAGAGTACTGTGGAATAGCTTATTTTCACTATTCATCGGGCAGCTAATTTCATGAGTTTCAATCTTCCTTAATAGATCGAATTTTATCGTAAATGTTAGTTTAAAATGATTTCGTGAGTTTTTTGATTAATATTTTACGAAAGAAATTCGAATCCAATCAATTGAAAATTAAAGAAATCAAAATGAAATTTGATAAAATTCAAATTGAATTAACTCCTCCTTAATTAGGGATCGTTGATAAATTTATCTCATTATGTGGGACTCTCATTATCTGGGATCTCACTGTATTTCAAGTTACTGTCATTATCTGGTACTTTACTGTATTCCTAAACTTTTTTGTTTTCGAAAAAATCGTAACACAAACAAGAATAAAATTCTCATTTTGAATGTGCAGCTTAACTTTCACAATGTTCAATGAAGAATATTCCGGATTGCATGGACATCCTTCATAAGCGCAATAATAGAGGGAAAGTTTCTTGACGAAGCTACATGTTAGGATTTTAAATTCCCAACAAGCGATCGGCACGAAATCAACCTTCTGCAGAACTTGAAAAGCATGATTTTTAACATAGTAAATTTTGTATGAAGAAGTTGATCTGTTAAAAAAGAAAACTTTTAGAAAACTAATCAAACAAACAAAGAGAAACTTACATTTCAATTGGAGCAGTCAACATTTTCTCCATATTATTTTTCAAGGCTTCATATAAAATAAGTTGCTAAGCTCCAAGCTGGTATCGATCGAGCATCGTCATTGAATTTACAATAGCTTCTGGCGACACATTGATTTGAAAATTGGCTTTTCCAGCCAGTTCTATGTCAAATTTTATGAATTTTACAAAACTGTAGTAGTCATCCAAACTGACTTCTTCATCAAGGACAGAAGCACAGAAGGACATTCTCATCCTCATCCTCATCTTCACATGATGTTAATTCATGAGCTGCACGAATTATAAAATTTAATTCATTTTTGCGGCGCAACACTTTTACGTTTTCATTAGGTTTGAAAAGTCACATGAGTCTCTCCCATGGCTTGAAGCAGCAGTCCTAGAATTTGCAGATATAATAGACGAATCGAGACTGTAAATGTGCAATACAAGCGTTTTTGCTTGAGCAAGTAATTGTTGAATCACAACCACAGTCTGGAGCTTTGCATCGCCAGACATTTTCACATGTTGTTTGCTCTCTAAATTTAAGTTCTAACATGCAATCAGGGACAGGGTAATCTCGTTTGGTCCAAAAACATCGAACTAAGGAGTGCTCTAGAGCACTTATCTGGTAGCATCCATATTTTCGACCCTCTTCTTGGTTCCATCAAGTTGTAAAAAATTTTATAGATGATATCATCTAAAACTGCCATGATTTTAGTTATGGTACCTTCATTACTTAGATTCCAATCAACCCTTAAAATTCCATCTTTTTCTAAAATTTTATGATGAAGCGGACAACTGATTGACACTAGGTTGACAAATCTCATCTCCAGGTAAGATATGCAACCGTGATGTTGGATTATCTTTTCCAGATTTCTTCTAAGCTTCTTCGCAGGTTGAGAATCCAAATCTTCATATATTGATGCTCCTCTCGAACCTTCTGTCGGGCTAGCTAAAATACTGTTGTCAGATATTTTGAACTTAACTTTTTCTTGAGACTCAAAATTTTCTTTGATCTTAGCAGCTTTTGACTGCATATCCTCTAGCATATTCTCGAGCGATTTCACACTTTTTTTCTTTTGTTGCAAGCTTGATTTGGACCCTGTGATGAATTTGAAAAAGATTAATAAGTGAGCCAAAGAATGTAAAAATTGCGAATAACTTACCAAACTCTACCGCAAAGCAAATGTAAGGTTCGTTTTCATCTTTAATTAGAATCCTATCTAGAGGATTGATAATTTTGGCAGGAGGCACCGGTCTGATGTCCTTAATAGGAATTATTCGGAATCGTGTACTCCGTGCTTCAGGCAGCCCACAGCTTCGAAAAAACAACACATAAGCCATTATTGTATTAATAGAATGAAAATCTACATTGGAGCACTCTTTTTTATTGTGCTATAATGATAAATATTTCTTGGCTGCACAGAGATAAATATTTGTTGAGAACACGGAGTTGCGAATAAAAAACACTTTCCAACTATTATGTTGATAAAAAGATTAAAATTAAAACTGTAGTTTAAAGGTAAGACTGTAGGCTGACTCTCGCCGTACTTTCGGCTTAAGGCTAGCTTAGTTGTTGTAACTATAGCAACATTTAAACAAAACTACACAATTAAATTATCGAAATCGTTATTGTTATTGTCAAACTGTCTGGCTCTTCCCCTCAAAATCTGTTAATAACTTTAAATATTATTTAAACAAGTGTCATTACTGTTAATGTGTTCTATCACTAAGTTAATTTAATTTTTCTCAATCATGTTTATGCATGGATAACTGCTACTAAAGTCTATAAGTTAGGCTTAAGCATTAGTTCATTTTACAATGTTTATAAATGAACTTCCAGATGAATGTTTGCTCATCATTTTTGGTTCAATAAATGAATTGGATGATTTAGTACACTGCTATTTAGGTAAGTTTGTTTTAATTCAAAATTAAGTTACACCTCTGGCCCAGAGACTCTGATTTAAATCAAGTTAAAATCAAGTTCAGCTATATCGATACATTTGAGAGCTATAGTATCATAATCTATAATAGATTATAACAACATGATAAATATTATTATTTGACTGTTAAAGCATGATATTTGCATATTTTTACAAACGTTTAGTTATTTTGTCTTGTTTCTTAAATGTTTTATTTTAGTATGCAGCAAATGGAGCCATTTAATTGCGGAGCGAACTAGAAAAGTTAAATATTTGGTTGGTAAGCACCTAATTTTTACCGATACGTATTATCATTATGAACGAATTCCCTCATTAAACTTATTTGTTCAGAATATCGGTGGAATGGTGACAACGCTCCAAATTATACGTTGGATTATGTTTATTATCTAGCAGAGGAACCGCTTGATACAACATGTTTGAGCACATTATTTCCAAATTTAATTGTTTGTTGAATCATTTCTTTTTTTCGTCTATTACTTGCTGACTAATTGTTTTTCATGTTATTTGTTGTCTTATTACCTTAGATTGCCGATTTTTCTGGATTCCTTTCAAAGGTGAAACATGAAGCTATCGTTACATTGGTCAAAAGGATGAAATCTTTAAAAGGATTGATTAATCATTGCTGCTATTATGAAGGAGATGAATCAATCTTCCAATATTGTGATGGACTCGAAATGGTATCCAACGATCACATTGAGCCATGCATAAAAGAGAATGGTGTCAACATTAAACAATTGCACCTTGTCCGTTATAATTTAGATAGATTCAGGGAAGATGCACATTATTTTCCAAATCTTCAAAAGTTATACATTTATAATAACGAAGGTGATTTTATAATACTTCTATATTTTTAACAAATTTTTTGAAAATGAGCATTCATCTTTTATCCTTAGGCTCGCCAGATCGCTATTATGATGGTCCCATATTAGAAGAACTTAAAATAGTTGAATTGTCCTTATCTTCTTATGATGGTACAGACATTTATTATGGTTTCCAGTTCATGGATTCATGTCCGAATTTACAAAGTGCTCATATTAAATTGGACTCTAATAGCATTTTTGTTAATGAATCATTAAAACACAAATCTTTGCAAGATTTAGTTTTATCATTTGTAAGTATTGTTTGATTTGAAATGTATTTGCTTTTTTGTGAAGAATTTAAAACTTAAAATTTCTTTCTAAATCAGCTACAATAAGAGATGTTCATCATGCAGAACTACATTCATCTGTATTAATTAACTAATCTCTATATTCACAGTATGATCAAGATTATACTGATATTTTCGAATGGGATGAATTGAAAAGATTGTTCATGAAATATCCAAATCTTAAACATCTTGTACTGTGCGACAACAGGAGACTGGAGGATGAGCATATCGAGCAATTGGTTCGCATTTTACCCAATTTAGTGTTATTTGCTGTTCGTGAATGTCCAAGAGTCACTCAGGAAGCTGCAAATTTTGTTCAAGACTATAATAAACTATATGGACGATCAATCAAGTTTTACTTTAAAGAGAATTACCATGAAATTCAATCAGATTGGCCTCAGTTATCAACTAAATGTGAAAAAATTAGTCAAGGTTTTGATTTCATGAAACATTGTTTTCTTAAAGATTTTGGTAAACTTTCTACTTTCTTAATCTCTAGTGATGACTAAACGGTAAGGTTTTACTTATATAATGACTGACTGCTGGGGAGACTATTTGGAATTGATATGCGTAAAAATCTGTTATCATCGAGAAATTAATTTTCATGGGACATTGAATGGAACAAATTAGTCAAACCAATATTTAATTGATAAAATTATGCGATGTGTTTCATGTTATAAATTTATATTTTACTTGTTTCCATGTTTCATTTCCTGGAGCCAAGAATAATCGTCCATTTACACATGAAGATAAAATATCAATAAAAGTTAACCTCGAGTCCGTGAATAGGGAGAATTATGTCGATAATGGTGTCTCGAACACCGCTGTACCCAAAAGAACGCCTTGGCGTCCAACTCTCTCCAGATTCTCCTTCTTTGCGAATAATTTTCCTCGTACGAAGCAACGTCTACAATAGCAGGTAATTCTGCATACCTTGCTCGTAATATATTGTGTAACTCAGTGTTTCTAGCAACTGATACTTTTCTATCGATAAAAGTTCTCGTATTTGAATAATGACAATAGTTGTCAGTACAATTGTTTTCATTGTAAAACTCACTATCAAGGCTATACAAATCTATGGTTATATCGAAACAGCCATCCAGCTTCCAATTTAAATAAGACCTCAAAACAAAGCGATCACCATCATTCAACCTTCCCAAACAGTTCTCTCTGGTGAAGTTACACGGCATGAAATCAGGCTCATCCTCATCAGGTGCATCATCCTCATAAAACCGGGGATCGAATGATTTATGTTCAATATTTCGTAAATCAAAATAATTAAGAGGCGCATAATCTAAGATAGTCATCCTGATTAATTCGACTGGAATTCCGATTATCGTCGAAAGCTGTCAAGATAAAATAAAATGTCAAGTTTAATCTGAAGTAAAGTTGAAATCAAATATGAGAAAATGGCTTACCTGGTTAATAACTTGCTGATCTTTGTATGGAAATCTTTCATCCGACCAATCTATTACTATATCATGATATCCCTCATCTGCAACCTTAACCTTTATGGTAACTAAATAATTTATCGAAAAGTTATAATAACATCACTCATTATCACGATTCACAAAATAAATAGACTCACCTTTATCTGAGCTATCATCTTTTTCAATATTTTTCAGTGAATTATCCATTGGCAGGAATAAAAATTATTTTCTGTGCAAGAAATGGTTTTGTAGTATTCAATATGAAAAGACTTGACTTGCAAAAATGAACTTGAAGCAAAGAAGAACACAAAAGACTCACAAAGAAATGCTTTTCACAACTGAAACTTGAATTCAAAACTTTGCCCTAAAAGACAAAAACCGGAACCAGAAACAACCTGCGTCCAGTTTAAACTAGCTCAGTGGGAACAAAAGAAGTCGAACCAATATTTAGTTGAAAAGATTTCATTTCAAGAGTCTTTTTTCAGTTATATTCAGTTGAAAAACTAAGTCTTATATTTTATTAACTTTTCGATAAATTATTTAGTTACCATAAAGGTTAAGGTTGCAGATGAGGGATATCATGATATAGTAATAGATTGGTCGGATGAAAGTTCTCCATACAAAGATCAACAAGTTATTAACCAGGTTAGCTATTTTCTCATGTTTTATTTCAATTTTGCTTTAGATTAAGCTTGATTATATTTTGAATAGCTTTCGACGATAATCGGAATTCCAGTCGAATTGATCAGGCTGACTAATTTAGTTTATACGCCTAATAATCATTTTGGTTTACATAATATTGAACATGAATCATTCGATCCTCAGTTTTATGAGAATGATGAGCCTGATGAGAATGCGCCTGATTTAATGCCGTGTAACTTCACCAGAGAGAACTGTTTAGGAAGGTTGAATGATGGTGATCGTTTTGTCTTGCGTACTGCTTTGCATTGGAAGCCGGATGGCTGTTTCGATCTAACCATATATTTGTATAGCCTTGATAGTGAGTTTTACAATGAAAACAATTGTACTCAGTACTATTGTCATTATTCAAATACGAGAGCTTTTATCGATAGAAAAGTATCAGTTGCTACAAACACTGAGTTACGAATGATATTACGAGCAAAGTATGCAGAATTACCTCCTATTGTAGACGCTGCTTCAGCCTTGGAAAATCGCTCGCAAAGAATGAGAATATTGAGAGAGTTGGACACCAAGATGTTCTTTCGGGTTCTTGAGACGTAATCATCGACATAATTCTCCCTATTCACGGACTCGAGGTTAACTTTTATTGATATTTTATCTTCATGTGAAAATGGACGATTATTCTTGGCTCCAGGAAACGAAGCATGGTGCTCATCATCAATGACATGCTCGCCACAATTCCAATCTCTTATTAATAAACAAGCAGATTGAAGTAACCATTGAAAGTAAAATATAAATTTATAACATGAAACACATCACATAATTTTACCAATTAAATATTGGTTTGACTACTTTGTTCCATTCAATGTCCCATGAAAATTAATTTCTCGATGATAACAGATTTTTATGCATATTTTTCAAATCAGTGTGAGTTTGAGTTAACAATTTTGAATCGACCATACGGTATTAGGCAGTTCAGCAGAAAGTGGACGACTTTAATTGTTAATTATTGCGAATTCAATCGACTCTCATTATGAAATCTAGCACAATGTTACCTGAATTATTCAGATTCACCATGCAATTAATAAATTGGAATAAAACGCTTTGGTTGAGAGATTTGAACAATTTGCCTCGAATTTTTATGAAATGAATAAAATTCATTTTGATTGAATAAAGTTGCTGTAAATCAAGAGAACCAAAGTTTTGTCAGGTTATTCTGGTCCCGATTCATTTCTTAAAATCGTCGTTAAATTATCGTCAATTAAATCGGGTTTCCGAATTGATTTCACTGAAATCGTCAAAATTATTTCTTGTACCTTCTATGGAGTTAAATAGTGAATCATAATTTTGAGAAACAATTGAAGTTGTAATTTATTTCTAGCTATTAATAAATTGTATCTTATTTAAGTATCTATCAATCAAATTGGGAATTCATTAATCGAGTATCTCATTGAAGGTTAAACAAATGATTACTATTTACGTAAATCCATTTTAACATTATCTATTAGCAATTCCTATGTTCTATTCCAAATACGTCAAATCCTCGTTGATATCAACGAAAATCACATTTATTTAAACAAACCAGATGATAGAGTTGAATATCACAATAATCAAGTTGATTGAAAATCATTTTGTTTACTATTTCGAGTCTTCCTTGTTCAATATCATTGTTATAATGATGATTAGATAGTTTTAAATGGCAGAGTTTTGTGCAAAGTTGAGTTTAAAAATAAATTCACAGAAATTGATTTGCGTTTTAATTTTATTTCGCCGGCTTCTGTAATAATTAAAGTCGTAATCAGAGTAAATATAAAATATCTTGAACAAACTTGGCTATGCTTATTAAACACTTTAAACTGGTTGATTTGTGAAAATAAAATCAAGCTTTAGTCGGGACCGAAAATTGAAGTTATTTTGATTGAATAAATTGAAAGATAATTTTATTGCTTGATGAAAACAATGAAGTGTTATTCAGCTGATTCGGACAATTAAACTCCTTCATTTGAAACCCATTTTGAACATGCATTCGTTTATTTGTATCAATTAACTTGATAAATGTTGGATGTTTGGAGAAGCTATTCAATAATAAATCCAAGCAAACAGTTTGCATTGATTAATCTTGTAGGTTTTATTTGATACTTTCAAATTGTTTTGATTGTAATTACATGATAAATTGTGTTCAATTGTAAAATTTGCTAAATAAATTAAATTTGTGTCATAGAAACAATGAAAAATCAGAATAAATGAAAATAAAATGGTTAACTCGATAAGTGTTGTTTGTTTAAAGCTCTAATTCAACTGAACAGGTAACTTTATTCAGCATTGATTTTATGATTTTGTTGAAATTGCTGGCGATTCTTAGGTTGAAGGTCATAAATGCGGTGAAGATTAGTTCATAAACTCTCAATTTATCCATCACTTGGAGGATTGATCACAATTTTTTTTCTGGTTTCACTTTTATGTCTTGAATTGAAGTGGACAATGGAGCGAGATCTCCTACGGTAGACTTGACTTTTCAGGGGAATTAAGTTGAGTTAGGTGATAAATAAACAGATATTGAATGAATGATTTAAGGGTGAATTTTTAATCCAATAAGTGTCAATATTAACAATTTAAGCGGATAAAATGGACGGTGAAAATGTTGAATGGACGAGCGTTTCCAGGCACAAATGTTTCAGAGGAAAATTGTGTTTTTTAAAACTGACTTGAACTGAAGGCAGTTAACTTTTATAATGAGTGAATGAGAGGAAGAGCAAACTATTTATGATGAAGATGAAGTGATTAGCTCATCAATTCATCTAATTTACCAGGATTGCAAAGTGATTATAAGATGAGTGGAAAGTGTGAAGCAGAGTAACATTTTATGGTTTAATAAGGCCTACAAGGTCTATTGTAATTGTTGATACATTTTATCATAGACAGTTTATATTGTGAGTTAAATGTGTTCGATCAAGGAACTCCGATTGAATTAATTGTTACTCAATGTTTACCGTTTCTACCGTTCCATAATCATTATAATCAGATTATTCTATTTTTGATTCTTCATTGATTCTCTCCTTTCATTTTCACACCTCCTCTCAATCTTTGATCACTTTTCAAATAACGTTGATGATAACCGAGTTAATTTATGGGTAACAATGGATGACCTGGAAATAATGGTAGCAAATCAGGTCAGAACGAGGTTGGCAACATTTGATTGTTCATCGTCGATTAAACAGTTAAAGTCAATGAAACAAATAGCAGTATTACTTACAAGGCCATGTTAGAACTATTTCAAGCTATAAAGGCATTTATGGTAACTCACCACTTGGTGCAAGTATCGAAATGTTTAATGCTATTTTAAGTTAAATTAATTCAAGAATTAATCAAAGATTTTGTGCAATTGGTGATCATGTCTGTCACATTCTATTGAGTTGAGTAAGGGCATCAATATTTTGTAAAATACTAGATCGGACTTTCAATACTTGATCTGGAATTAAGATGTTAAAGCGCATAGATTCACTAACCAATGTTTGTTGATTGTTGTTTGAGCTGCAAGTTTCATTTTCATCATTCCAGCAATATTAACGTTCGATAGAATAATTTTAATTTAGTTACATTTTAGTTATAAAGATCAAATTTGCTAATTTGGCATTATGCAGATTAGGTTATTTGTATTATATTAAGTAATACAAAGTGAAGGGACTGTGAGTTTTTGGATATTTTTGATCAACATTCAATTGGTTATGAACATTATATCTAGGGTTGGTACTAAAAAGATGTTGGTTGAAATAGACCAGTTAGTTCATTATAAACAAGATCTAACTCACATTTCATTAATAACATGTCACTACCTTAATATATGACAAGGTTACTAAGATTTTTCAAAATTTAACTTTTCATCACTAAAACTGAATTCTGAGACATCATGTCCATGATCAGAATTACTCATGATAAAACTATGATTAATGTTTCGTTGCTCAGAGCTAATTAAGAGCTATTTAATAATATATTATTCATTTCTTCAACTTGATCCGTTCTCATGTTATGAACGGTTGAAATACAAAATCTCAATCTTTTCAATCATTAAATAAGTAATCAAGGATCTACTTATTTCTCCTCAACCAAACCAACTAGAGATACGATGAAGACATCGTTAGAAAGCTCATTTCATTCACTTTCTAACCACATATTAACATCATTAAAAAGACTTGATTAACAGTGAAATCAGAGTCATCTTTCTGTCTTCCAAAACATAACATGATCTTTAATTTAACAATTAAAACCACACTAATTGTCTCTGACTCGAACCGATGCTAAACACATTTAACTGTACTTTAACTTAACCATGTAATGATCATTAACTTTGACTTAAAAGGATAATTTGATCCTTTTCTCTGTTTCATCTCTTTTCATAATTTCTTGGAAATTTTCCTTTAACTAAACATGGACATTCATAACCGTTTTCTCACTCTTATAAGTAAGATAAAAAATTAACCAACAGTTAGTCCAGTTTTGTGAGTTGCACTGGAAGCAACATTTGCGTCTCTTTTTGTGTTCCTTGTTATTTAACAAGAAGTAATGTTTTACTAAATTAATGTATTAAATTGAATTGAAGTTTGAATTAAATGTTTGACTAAAGTCATCGAGTAAAAATTCATTGAAACCAACAAAAGACACGATCGCCACATTTATACACAAATAGACACGAATTGACAACAATAGTGCTGCACCATTTATACTGACTCCAGCTAAACCAGATAGTCCAGCGAGGGTAAAAATAGCAATTGTAGTCGGAACTCGTCCAAAACTATCAATGAAACACAAGGAATACGATTTAATTTAGTCAACAATTTCATTTCAAATTGTATTTGTTACTAAAATGACACATTTATGCACAAATTGAGCAAATTGACACAAATGCTGCAACTAAAATTGGCAAAATCGGGCGAAAATCAATTTAATTGGAATTCAGACTCTGATAGTTTGTGAGGAAATTAATACAGAGTGCTTTCGTGTGATTTGAAGATTTCTCAGATCAACAGTTCTCGAGAAAATCGCGTTCAAGTTGAAACTTCGATCGGCTTTTGTCCATTGTGGGAGCAGATTTTTCAATGGAACTTCATTATGCTAATGCACCTTATACCGGGCTTTATTTTTCATTTAACGCCTTCATCCAGGCATATGTCAAGAATGGATAGGGCTACATACCTCAGACCTGAACCATAAACTTTATGCAGATTGCACAACGATAATTTCGAACGCTCAAGGTTATTCAAGGTCAATTCTTTATTTGACCTCTAATTGACATTGGCAGGTCATTTTCTATAGTTTCAAAAATTT